ACGATTGGAGATCCACTATTGCTGATCCACTAAAAATGCAAGCCGAAACCCTATACTCGTCTGGGGCACAGGGTGCCCCAGCGAGTAATTATCCTAGCCAAGATCCTAACCCTAAAATCTTTCGGAAAATATACGGCGAAATGTTGCTGGAGGCCTTGTACATGATCGTAGCCATGATTCTGCATCTCGATGATCCATTGTAGTTTCAGATCAACCAGATAATGTACTGATGCTAGTGTTTACTGTTAAGCTATAGCTTTGAAAAAGAGATGTGAACATGGTTTACAAACTTGAGTACTGTTTTTAGATCTGGTCAAGGATTTTGACCGGGTTCCTCGTGAGATGCTGTGGATGTGCCACTGGAATTCGGAGTGCTTATGTGATGGTACTGATTATACGATCGTAACATGTCAATGTGCACTGAAAAATGTTCTGTGAACAACGTGACAAAAACCTTAAAAGTACTATATTCTACAAGCAAACTGCTGTTTAATGAAACATAACGATTAATAATTTTAATTAGTACTGCCGTGGATGTTTCAACTTTATTAAATACTTGACAATCTCTCATGATTCATGACTCATTTATTTGTAGATATTATATTTAGATGAAATGCAACCCGTGTTCCAACAGAATTTCCTGCAGATCAGCCAGATTTTTGCATCAATTGCAATCTTTAAATCTATTACATCATGAAATACCACGAAAGGATGAATTATATAATTGCTTGATGAAAATTGTCTTCTGTCGAATTTATCTTTGAAGAAATAATGGATTTTTCAATTATAAAAATATTCTTAATGAAATGATCGTGTTACCATGACAACTACTTTAAATACTTCATGTTCGGAAAATACAATGGTTTTGTCAGCAAGACGGCCGGGAAGCTAAATCTGATAACTTCGATAACGGTCTTCTCACATTAAACAAGCCTTTGCATACAACACTAAACAACTTTCCCGTGACAAGGTTTGCTGCTTGTTTTAACAGAATGATGTTGAACATTTATCTTATGTCAAGACCACCTTTTGTTTGCCAAAACCATAGATGTATTTCTTGTATACTTGTCAAGTTTTCCTTGGGGCCCTTCACATAATTAAAACAAATTTTCCTTGTCCGAAAGCTGGCATGACCAAAAAATTTTTGGCGCACACACAAGGAAATAACGCTTAATTGTCAAGGAAAAATTGACCGTTTCTATGGGGCTTAGCATGTCTTGGAGAACGAAGGGGTGTAAAGGCCCAATCACATTTTACAAATTTTTCTTTCCGCGGAAAATTTTCTTGAATGGAAATGGGTCTTTAGTTCTGAGCACTAGAGTGGAACTTTAGCGTGAACTTTAAAGTGGAACTTTTAACTTTGAAAATGACTTTGACACCAAAGAAATGCTACGGTACGTCAAGGCTGGTTCACATATGCCTGCGCTATCATTGTTTACAGCTGTTGATGCATACATTCTTTTGTGAATTATTCAGTTAAACTGCTAACGACAATATCCCGCCGATATACTGCAGGTATATGTGAACCAGGCTTTACGATACGGCTGAAGTGGAAAACGGCCTTTGTAAGTGAGTGAGTGGGTGGGGCATAGTTACAGTGGAAGGGTCAGTTTGGGGCTAATCAATAATCAACTTATTCATGTAAATTAATAATAAAATTAATGTGCATTAATAAATAATTAATGTATTAATTAATGAATGTAATTAATCATAATTAATATATTAATATATTAATAAATTCAATTATTAATCATTTGCTATCGTTATTAACATTAGGGGAGGTGCAATGGTCTAGCTCATGCAATGGCCCCCATGAAAAGTTAGGGATTATAACGGGCCAAAGTCAACGACACAACCAAAAAATGTCAAATTTTAACTTTGATCTATCTTTGAAACTTTCCCAAGGGCCTAAGAGGTGCATGGCTTTTGAGGGGAAGTGCAAAACTCTCAGGGGAGGTGCAAAATGATCTCAGGGGAGGTGCAAAACGATCTCAAAGGAGGTGCGCACCTCCCCTCAAAATCTGGCCATGCATTTTTACTCCCATATGTTGCCACTTCAGGATAATTTTGCCTTGTCTGAATTTACCTAAACGGGCTCATTAACCCATTAATGTATGGTTCAATTCTTCCTGTTACCATCAGCCCCAGCAACCCCCAGGGATTTGCAGATTTTTATTTCCAAAATGTCAATTCCCCACCCCCGGGAAAATAAAGAACGCCAATTCCCCACCCAGGGGACAACATTCACAAACCATTATTGGACAGAAACACGTTATAAATCAAAATTTTACAAAATAAATGTCAACCTTCGAATTCACTTGCAGGACGCATTTTTTTGCCACTGGCAATGTATTCTCTGATCTACAGCCATACAGTATTGTCAAATATGATATATTTCTCAAAGAATTCTGACGCCATCTTTAATAACAATTGCAGTTTTGGCGGGAAACATCTCACCCATCTCGCGGCAGGTTCGAAGGCTAGGCCTATATAAAGCCCCTCCCATGTGAACATTTAATATATTCCCACCCTTAACCTCACGAGCCACCCCGGGCACCAGACACTCAATAAAATTCCCCAACCCCGACAAGTGTTGGTGTACATTTCCCGAGGGATGGTAACTGGAAAAATTGAACCATGCATACAAGATATATTGTGCTCTAATACATCCTTCCTTATATATTTCTCTGTCTAAATGCTGGACAATTTTACTCATCAGGGGGTCATTGGATTAATCAGACTGCCCACGTAGATAGACATTTAATTGGTCCCTGAACAAAAATAAGCCAATCAGAGGCTTTGTTTACAAACCGGCTTGTGAATTTCAGCATGAACTTCTGAACTTCACAACAAAGTTCGGAACAAAGTATACACTATTTAGGGAAAAGTTATGTGAAATCAACAACTAATGTTAAAAGATTTTGTCAATGGAAATTTTGAGTGTACACCTGTCCAAAATTACTTGCGGCAGAAACCAAATTGGCAGAAACCAGATTACGGACTTACATTACTTTAGGGAAACCAAATTAGGTTAACGCAAAACAAGGTTTGTGCATAGTTAATATTAACTATGGTTTGTGGTAGCCTGTGCACATCCTGTATTACCCGTAGTACATGTAATACAGGATGTACATGCACAGGCTAGGTTTGTGGCAACACGGCGAAAACCCAGGTTTGGTTCCCTCAATTTTGGACAGCCTGGTGTAAATTTTATACACTTATTCAGACCTAACCAGCCTGAGTAGCTGTAAGTTGCAAACGCAGTTACGCTTATTTAGACGTAAGCAGGAGCCTGCCCTCGTTAACCCACTATGTTGCATTGCACCCTAATTTATGATTTTATTCTGTTTATAAATGGCAGACAACTTTACTCGTCAAGAGGAGAGCAGTGGATCTCAATGTGTTAAAGCTGTATCATACAGCAGATGGTGGGCAACTGACAGTTACCATTATATACAACATTTCCGAAGTTGAACACCATCTGTTGTTGCAAAAATATAGAGTCTCATACCCGGCATACTTAATCGATGAAATCAATAATCGGTGAGTATCGATATCAATCAATACCAATCGATATTTATTGATCAATTGATATTGGAAATCGAGAAATAATCAATGGCTTGTTTTGCTAGCTGTGACCTGTCATCAATTGTTTATCGATTTTTTATCGACCATTAACAACTTTAAAAGCATTCCCTTGTTCTGCCCATTTCTTTTCCGCTGTAAATTCTTCTCCCAGCTTCATGGTAAATAAACATTTGTGATAGCCTTTAAAAACTGTCTTGCGAATTATTACCAAATTCACATATTCGTGCCATTCACGAGACATTTAATAATGTGTTTCTTCTATTATAAATCTGTATACTTTTATAGCTTAAAGATGCGGTACAGTCTGATCTGCGCATGTGCACAAAGGAGCCCTCTTTTTATTTACAAACAGTTTATTCAGGTTTTTATTTCATTTTATGTTCTTGCAAAGCTTGATTGTTGTCTCTTCTTATTTTATTATACTCTAGAATCATGAAAATATAAATAGGTGTCGAATAAAATTCAATATTTTGGATACCGAAATGTAAACAAAGCCTTTGTTTACATACGGACTGTATCGCATCTTTAAGCTGTTTTGATACGTAGTTAGGTTAAACATGCCGACATGTGGCGACTATTTAGGACATATATCGATAAAAATCGAAAGCATTTTGTCGATAAAAATAGATAAATATCGACGAAAATCGATCAATATCAACAAAAATCGATAAATATCGACAAAAATCAATGAAGATCGATCATAACCGATAAAATTTGCCATAACTTTTTGTGACTATCAATGGCTATCGATTGACCAATGTCAATCGATATGAACTAAGTAATTAAAATCGATTACCATCGATTGATTGATTGGATTTCCGATGATCGGTTTTCATCAATTGAGTATGCCGGGCTTTTATTAAAAAATACTTTTGTCTGATACTCCACTGCAAAATATATCTAGTAGGAAAAACACCTTTTAAAAACCGTCATAATCTACACATGATTTCCCTCGAGTACGTCTTGACAATACCAGTTTCATTTTCATTTCTAAATTTGAACCTCTCTTTTCAAAATTCTCACATTCTCACCCACTTTCTTCGTTTGAGCCCACAGTATTTTAGTTCAGAGGTATAGCACAGAAACTTCGTGTAGGACTATGATAAATACGGTGGCCCACAGGTGCCACGGCACGAACAAAAACACCACGGCACAAATAAAAACTCCACGGCACAAACAAAAACTTCACGGCACGAACAAAAACTCCACGGCACGAACAAAAACTTCACGACACGAACAAAAACTTCACGGCACAAGAGCAAGAATTCCACGACACAAACAAAAACTCCACGGCACGAACAAAAACTTCACGGCACAAGGGCAAAAACTCCACGGCATAAACAAAAACTCACGGCACAAGAGCAAAAAAACAATAAGAAAGACTGGGCACTATAATACTTAATAAATTCAACATGGCTAATTTTGAGGAGTTAATAGGCGAAGAACAGTTTGACGAAGAACACATTATACAGTACTATTTTTTCAGAGGTTTTAATTATGAAGAAATTCGTAGATTTTTACAAAAAAACCATGCGATCGAAATGAGCATTAGAACTCTAAAGAGGCGAATAGAGAGCTACGGACTTCGAAGGAGACAGGCAGAATACGAAATTGCTCACGTGAGAGCAGCTATTGAAAATATCGTTGATGGTCATGGTAGTCTTCAAGGGCACAGAGCAGTGTGGCATACTTTACAGCTGAAGGGATTACGAGTGCCACGAATGATTGTGCAGGAGATTCTGCGAGAAATTGACCCAGAAGGAACAGAACAAGAAGAGCACATCGTCTGAAAAGAAGGGAATTTCGAATCCCAGGTCCAAATTACGCGTAGCACTGTGATGGTTATGATAAATTAAAGCCATACGGATTTCCAATCCACGGGTGTATAGATGGTTGGAGCAGAAATATACTCTGGTTATACGTCAATCGATCAAATAATCGACCGGACAATATAGCCACCTACTACCTTAATGCTGTGGAAGAATTTGGTGGGTGCCCTGTGGATTTGGTTACGGATTTGGGAACAGAAAATGGGACAATGGCTGCAACTCAAGCTTTTTTCAGGGATATGCTGACAGCCATATAGATATGTTGCATCACCTATAAATCAACGAATTGAGGCATGGTGGGGATTGTTTAGAAAGTCGTGCTCAACTTGGTGGATAAACCTCTTTAAAGATCTAATTGAACGAGGGGTGGTGGACCTCGCATCAGAATTAGACATGGAATGTCTTTGGTTTTGCTTTTCCGACCTTATTCAACAGGTTTTAAATGATGTGAAAGAACAATGGAATACTCATTACATTCGGGGATCTCGTTATGAAACAATCAAAGGTCGACCAGACTCCTTGTATTATTTACCCGAGCTAAGTGGTGGTGGCACCCATTTTTTATTGTCCGATCGCACATTGTAGAAATCCAAGAAGAAAATATATACCAAGAATATTTCAACTATGTTGTACAATCATGCAATCTTGACAAACCGAGTGATTGGAGGGAAGCACTGGAGCTTTATAATACTCTCCTGCAACACGCCAACTGAATTTGGGCTTTTTACTCCTTTGTCAGAGACATATTACAACATAAGCAACTACACTAACTTTAACAACTATATGTATATAAAAGGTTCATGTAAATAAACTACACTACTAGGTTTCAAATAGAATGTCTCTTATAGTCTTTTGGAAGAACTAACAATACTCTACTATATGTATATCAACTGTACGGTGCCATCTTTGTTCTAACTGTTCTTCGCAAAATGAAAGTTCATGATAAACAGTTAAACGCATAAACTTTGGTCACTTTGCCGTTATGTTTACATATTGTTTTAAAATTAGGTCCATTCTCCAATTTAGAATTAATTTCTTTTAGGTGATAAAAATGTAAACATGTCAAGGTGTAAACATGCAAACAAATTGCGAACCTTTAGTCTACAATCGTTTGGAAATAAGGATGCAGATCACATGGATACCTGTTAAGAGAGGTTAAGATTGACGTTAATTTGTGACAGACCGGTAACCGCAAACCGCTATCTTCAAGTCGTATTTTGAGATCAACTGTAAGCTGTTCGAAGTTAGGACAATTTGTGCATTGAAATTGAAGAATGAATTGACTAAAAACCTGTCGAAACCTTCGGAAACTTGTAGAACTTACCTTCAAATGCGAATTGAAGTTTGCCGTTTGTGGTTACCGGTCTGCCGTAAACGTCAATCTTAACCTCTCTATTATAATATCAGCCAAAAACCTGCATTCACTCGTTTTAGCAGCGTTCAAATAACCACCGCATTTGGAAACACTAAGAATTAGAAAGAGACCAAGCACATATACGAGTAAATATGGTATTTTCATTGGAAAACAAAACAGCTACTGTAATTAACGGGTTGTCTTCTGCTTATTGAATGTCTCGTATAAGCTAGTAGTAACAATATGAACCATCGTATATACTTAACATGCAAAAGTCCACTATCTTTGAATAAGATATTTTCAACATCACGTTCCCTTTTAATTATGTCCACTTTCATTTATCTATTCCCAAATGACTGACCCTTGCTGAAGGCAATCAGGAAAACTCGTTTGAAATCATCACTTGTTTTCATGTGTTCAACCGGCAAAGTAACATTTCTGACGCATGCTCCAACAACTGGGAAACAAACTGTATGCAAGTTGTTACGAGTCATACAGTCATGATCAAAATCGACATGTATTTTTAAATTATCCTCATTGATCGGTACATGTTTTTGACCAGTTAGCCATCCCAGTGCACCCGCTAGTGTAAGATCTGGTGACTGGTACGAACCAGTTTCCTTATCGTTTCCTTCGGTGTTTGCAATACTGTCTTGTCCATCATTCCATGCTAGTGCTTCAGTGTAACCCGTCACCTGCTCGTCGTCTTCCAAACTTATTAACAGATCTTGGAAGTGGTCAACCATTTG